AACGATGCCGCCGTTGCGGAGGCTCTTCTTCGGGGCAGGCAGCGGCTTACCGGCCTTCTTCGCCGCCTGGAAGGCCGCAAAGTCCTTCTGCTTCTGCTTGAAGGCCTCCTGGCAGCGCGACTTGCGCACGTGCTCGAAGCGCACGCAGATGCGCTTGCGGATCGTGCGGTTGCGGACCGGCTTGTTCACAATCACGCCGACGCCGCGCGGGGTGACGTTCCAGACGATGCCCGTGCGGCCGTGGTAGTACTTGTGCGGCATCCCGGCCCGCACGGCGGAGTCCGCCACGACGTCGACGTAGTCGCCGACCTTGAAGTTCGTCAGCAGGGTGCTCACGGAGGGGTTCCCGTGCTTGCGAAACTTCTTCGCGAAGAGGTGGCGGGTGCCACACTTGTAACCGTAGGAATGCACCATCTTCGGCTATTCTTCCACGCAACGCAGAAAGCAGACACACACACAAGAAAAAAAAAAAAGCGTTGACCGCCGACATGTGCGCCAGAATAAAAAAAAACACAGCCGTCATACAGGAATAGGAGTCTAGGAACAGACACAAAGGCACCAAGAAGGCATATAAGGGCACCTTGTCTTCTTTCCACCTCTCTTGCGGAGGTGAAGAAGGGGATTTTAACGACGTGTCGTTTTGCCCATGACTGACACTAGGCAATGTCGGGGTAGAAGAAGAGCTTCCTCACCCGTGTGTCTTCGTCGGAATCACTCACCACAGAAGTCCTTCCCATAATGCTTGTAAAACAGAGATGGTCCAAGCAGGTCCCAATGGCGAGGTAGGCGCTAACCGTCTCCGCCTCCGCCTCCCACTCGCTCAGATCCGCCAGCAAAAGCGTAGACGCTGCGCGGCGATTCTCAGACCACGCTGCATTGCAGACATCCGCCATTAACGGCGGGGTAGGTACGAAGCGGCTGTACAAGGGATGTGCAGGGGCTGACCGCATCGCCAAGGCACCAACGCCAGTACAGTGTGATGCTCTGCTGTCTGCATCTCTCTCCACCGCACCCAAGCGTCCTTGTGAAAGGGACAGATGCTCCAGCGTCGCCTCCACCGTGAGACCTCCAGATTTCTGAAGGACGGCCCCCATGTAGGCAAGAATCGCACTCCGTAGTGCGCCCAGCAGGCGCAACTTAAAGTCTCGCAAAGGGAAATCGCCCTCCACCAATGCTTCATGAAATTGCTTCTCCAGGTAATGCACCGCATAGGCCTCTGCCGCCCCGCCGGCGGGCACCACAACATTCCGAGGGGATGGCAAGCAAAGTATGTTTACCAAGTGATGCAATTGACGCGTAAAAAGGCGTTCCATGAGAACATGGTCAGCCGCGCAGCGACCACCAAAGACAACACTAGCCACTCTGTGCTTGACTCCCCTCGATTTCACGCCACTCTCCATGTCCAGTGGATTGAATGCCAACAGCAGCGATTGAAGCTCCACCTCACCACGTCGTTTAATTGAGCGATAATCAAAAAGAGCTTTCACGCGCAACCTGCCCCCAACAGGGCTCGGTTGGAGTGTCCCTAGAGACCTAGGCAAGACTCGAAAGGCCAGTGCTAGCTGCGTCATCACCGTTTGGCCAACAGCAGCCAGAACCAGAACAGTTCGAGTAGGAGTTCCCCATGACTCCATGCAGCGCAACGTCGTCTCGGCAAGGTGCCTCTGAACAGCAATCACCAAGAGCCCCTTCGCTACACGCCTCACCATCAGTGCAAGACGGTAAAGATCCGTATCGTTTTCCTCTGTGGCTCCATCAGGAAATTGGGAAAACAGCAACAAGAGATCAATGTGGCAGCTCTCATTTTCCACCAGTGCCTCAAAGGCATGCGCCGGGGAGCACACGCACGTCCCTGCCAAAACATCCGCGGTTCGCTTCCGGCGTACTGTTGTCAGGAGGGCAATCCCAGGAAGGACGTGGCCCTCATTGCCGCCTGTGGTTAACCGGTCACTTGCCTCAGTCGAAACCTTGTACAAAAGCTGCTCTACAAATGCGTGAAGTGAGACTAGTGCGCATCGTGTTTTGTCAGCCACAAAGTCCAACAAGCATGAACGAATATGGAGAAAGCAATCTACGGCAAGCTTCCCAGCCCTATAGCCCCAGGAGAGTGGATCATACGCAAACGTCCTTCGAAGGTACTCGTGTAAAACTCGGGGAGAAAGCGACGCAAGCATCTTATCATCACTGTTTATCACGTTCTCCGCCGAGAGCGTGGAGGAGGCGACTTCTGCCAAGACGTCTGTGGGGTCCAGTGCATGCCACTTGAGGCGCATCTCCTGAAGAAAGTTGTTCATAAGGTGCCAACAGCATCGCGTCGCAGAATCCTTGCTGCTTGTCTCGGGAGGAACTAAATGCGAACTTGTTCTCCGGTCCAGGCTGGCAAACCCAGCGAACTTTTCCCTGTCAATGTCCTGATATACCACGGCCTCTCTTGCCAGGGCATGATACGCATGCAGGGTCACATAAGTAATAAAATTAACACGGCACGCGGCACCAACGGTCACTTCATGCATTTCAAGCGTTTTACGCAACACGCTACAAAGAAGCTCCATCCCATCGTTGGAGGTACAGGTGAGATGCTCAAGAAGCTGGTGAGCATCAAAGGCGACGGCAAAACTCGCCCTCTCATCAGACAACTCCAAAAACTTTCCAACAGTGTGGCCAGGGTGAACAGCATAAGATTCAACCAGACGCAAGAGTTTGTGCGCCGCTTTCTCCATGAATTTCCGATTTTTATTTATTTATTTATGTATTATTATTAATATATATATGTATATATTATTGAAACGCCTAAGACTCCTGATCGACGCTTTGTTGTTGTTTGCGGCGTGACATCAAAGTAGAGCGTGCCAACAAATACAAAAAGAAACGGAGCATGCGACGAAAACTTTGCCACAGCAGTGAGCGCACCAAACGCAACCCAGCTTCACAGTTCCATTGTCACTTCACACCATATCCTTAAAAGGCATGCCAAGCGAAGAAATGCCGTAGTGCACCAGATCCACCATAACCTGCGTGGGCACCCAAGCACATGCTCCAAGATTACTTTTAGGGAAAAACATGCGCCTATCTTCATCCGCAGTGTGCGGTAAAACCGTCTCCGTGGGCACAGGGTTAGAAAGGCTTGGTCGGCTCACGGCGTCCGAAAGCGAGCATTCTCGAGCCTCCCAACGGCTAAGAACATCTGCCGTGGTCAATGCAGTGCAAATGTCAAAAACTGAGACGCCAACAGGGTGTTTGCAGGACTCCTCACTCGCGACTAGAGGCTTCGGACGCTCCGTCGTCACACGATCAAGTGCAATGCCATGAGCATTTGGCAAGGGAAGATTCCATGGTTGCAACCAAGTCGACAGCTCCGGGATACCGCTCAATTTTGCGTCTCCATGGTGACTATCGGTTGCTCCACCTGTTCCACGTCCAGATTTGTTCGGTGGTAACGACAGCGACGGCGCCTCTGTCTCCCACATCGGAAGCAAGGAAGGTGATGCCCCCAGTCGTTTTCGAGGTGAGCTTCTACAATCCACATCCCTTTGCCTACTAGAATCCACCCTCCCACGCTTTGTGCCACGTTTTGTCTCAGTAGTGGTCCTCTGTTGCTGCATCTTGGCGGCTGCCGTTACGGCGGACATACCCACATGCTCCAAATACTGCGCGCCGAGAGCATTAGTCTGTGACGCAATAAAAACTGCAATCTCCTTTACAAAGTCTGTTGTCCTAATGCCTTTTACGCCCTGGTCATCACGTGATTCATTATCAACAATTCCATCAGCTTTTTCCAGTGTGTAAACTGCTTCCTCCAAGTCGGCAATTCCCACCAACGAAGCTCGACAAAATTCTGAAAACTGAGCATTAAATCGTCGTTGGGAGTCGGTTCCCTTCACGACTGTCTTCGCCGCTTGTACAACAGTTTGAAGTAACGCATTGATCGAGGCCAGCTTGTGGCTCGTCGATTCCTGAATGGCTCGTATGAGGCGACTGTTCGTAAGCTCCGAAACCTCGCCCTTACTATCACCGCCGTTACTACGCCCTCCTCTGGCACGTTGGACGGACATTTGCTCCCCGTTGATGCCGATCAACCCCAGATCTGGCAACTTCTAGTAGAAGAAGGGAAAAACAAAACGCACGAAGGGAAGAGGCGTTTCGCACCATCACAAAAGCAACGTCCAAAGAAAGGTTTCTCTCAAATATTTTCCCACTTCCCCCTTTTTTTGCTGCATTGTACGTAGCAAACCTGTAGGTAATGAAAAGTTACGAGGGGGAAAGAAAAGAAAAGAAAAAAAAACGGTTCGCACGATCCAGCGCGGCAGTGGCCATCGAATAAGACAAACAAACAGCAAAGTTTCCACCTCCACGAAGCGCAATGCAGAGCAAAGTAGGCATATGTCACATTCACTTTCCCCCGCCCCTGTCCGATTCGGGTTAAACTTAAAACCGGTCGAAAACACTTTCTGGAATTAATAAAACCTTTTGGACATGCGCTTCGGGGGAGGCAGCGTAATTTCTTCCTACACAGAGAAAGAAAGACAAGAAAAGATCAACAGTTTGTATACTTGCACCCAACGTTACAATACGAGGCAGTTTTATGTATTACCTGCAACATGGTAAACAGATATTCCATAGAGGCCTTTTGTAATGACAGGGACTGTTCTTGCGAGCTCAACGAGTGACAGCCTTTAGGTCCCCGTTACTCTAGACTCTCTCTCTCTC